GAAAGATACAGCTTACGATTCTCTCCGAAAACAGCCGAGCACCTGGAGGCGAGCCGGGGGCGGAGCTGAAGAGTCGCGAGCACTTACGGGCCGATTGGCAACAAACAGACATTTGATGCAGTTTTACAGCAGTTCCTAGTCATGACTGGGATCTTTTATCACTCGGACTGCTCTATCTTTCAGTATCAAACGATGTACAAATCCAGTGTCAGAATGTACCTTGTTATAAAACATTCATCACCGAAGTGACGGGAACAACAAACATGCTCGTGAAACTCTGTTGCTGCCCCGGAAAAAACAAATTGCATCCACTGTTCACATAACACTGAAGAAGGTTATTTTTTCCTCACATCCAAAAACACACATCTTTAGAGACAGTCTTCTCGAGCAAGTAACTGCAGCGCTGCCGATGACTTCAGTAAGTTAACCATGAACGAAACGTGTAGAGCGGCTCGCTCTCGCTCGGGTCGCTGAGTACACGCACGCATAAGAATCCAACTCTTAACAGTGTAAACAACTCAGAATGCATGAAATAGCATTAGACCCCCCTTTAAGCGCAGCATATGCAGCGACAAGCGTGTTGCCAGTGACAACAGATAAGTACCGCACATTGACAATAGGTCATATAAACTAGCACAACACAAGCATGTAACTGAAAACAACTAAATGAGGCTAAGCAAGAGAGATAGCCTTAGCAACACGCATCTTACCAAACCTGAGAGCATTAAAAGGAACTTAGCTTGTGAAGATGTTCGAGAGAGTGAAACAAAGCAGCTGTGACGGGGATGCTAGATCTATTGATATCCTTCTTGGGGATGAAGTCCCCATCTGAACTTCTTCTTGAGTCAGTTACATAATTTGTGGAGTCCATGTCAATAATGTAGCGATGCGTGAAGTAATGCTAACTCAGTTACTTCCGAATCAGGCAGCTTATGATCAATGCGGTGAATTGACGTGTTTAAGTGAACGAACTTAAATGAATCGGAGGTGTGTTTGTGTTTTGCCTGCCGAATTCGCCATTTAATTAGCTATTGAGCAATGCGAAAACTGCTGATAATCCTGAGGGACCTTATATATGAATGCTTAGATAGGTGTCGTATTCCTATAGGTAGATGGGGATCAGCTGAGAGTCAGCTGATGCTAGCTTGACTAATGTGACCTGCCAGAACTAACGCTATGCTTGATATTTATGGTGAGCTGAGAAGAAGGTATAGTCTTTGACAGCCTCATTCCTCAATTGCCATACGTCACACACGTTGACCTGTTTTATAAAGTCATTAAATAACTTTGAAGAGGTCTGATCAGAATTTGATATTTGAGATCTATCAAGTATGGGATCATGCACAGCATTGAAGTCGCCTCCTATGACAAGATGATAGTCATTCAAACTTAGTGACATGCGGACGAGCTGTTGATAGAACAAACTATCATATTCGTTGAGAGCGTATACTGAAACAAAAGCACATTTAATATTGGACCATGTAACAAGTATGTAAGTAATGCGACCATCTGCATCACTTCTAGAGCAATGTATGGAAAAAGGAAGACGCCGGGCCATCATTATCAGAACCCCTTTAGATTTCTTATCAGAAGGAAAAGAAACTAATTTGTAATACCTATTTTGAAATCGATGTACATCACAAGCTTTCAAATTAGATTCCTGTATTAGTGCAATGGAAACCCGTTTAGATCTTAAATAATCCAAACATTTGGTTCTCTTAATGGTGCCATTTAAGCCATTGACGTTCCAAGACATTACATTAAGAACCATAATTCAATCAGATTACTGTACATCTTACTTAATAAGAAACAAAAAATAGTGGACTTACATGAATAGTTCATGGCATCTGGAACTATAAGGGAACAACAACAATAACGGAACAGAAAGGCAGTGAGCGGAGAGTGAGAACAAACTCTCCTACCTGCCATCACAACAACCTCATCTGAATACGTGGCCAACATAACAGAGGATCTCCCAAGGCCGACTCGGTATCACAGTCCACTAAAGTAGTACTCAGCATAGTCGCGATATCAGTCTATAAATCTCCTCCTAGAAACTACGAGCTGGCATCGGTTAACATTCCCACTGGCGTGCTGTCACATATGGGCGGAGGCGTAGTAAGTGCCTGTTGCTGGTCAGTATAAGTTTCCAATTCAGTCGGCGTTTGGAGATGAGAGGTTGATCCGCGATGCGTCACCTTGATCGTGGCGGGATAGATCATGAAGGAAGAGATCCCGAGTTGCGTGAGTCTTTTCCTAGACTGATTTATCTCACGTCTTTTCATGGCAGTTTGATTACTGTAGTCGGGAAAGAAGAGAAGCGAGTTCCCCTGAATTTGTTTACTCTCGGCGCAACTTTCGGTAACGCTTTAGATTACAACCCGCAAAGAACTATGTAAGTATACTGAATTTATGGTGTACTTTTCTGTAATTATAGTGTACCTATAAAGAACATACGTGTAGGTATAAGGGAACAATGTGTTACGTTTGTGTAATAAGGGGGTAACAACCAGATATGCAACCCGCGCTCACCACATTCACTGCTGCAGTTTTAAAGGAACACACTCCATACAGTTTCAAAGTTGTCCTTCATCTGCGCTTAGGTTATTTTTCTCCTATTTTCCACACGTTCCCATCTTAAGCACCGCAGTCACAGATTTCGTCGCACACAGAGCCGTTCACGTTTGAACTCACATGACTTGGTTGTACTTCAAATTTGAGACCTTTTACTTAATATTTTAATTAGCGATGCGCCGATCATAGCTGATTCAGAATTCAGATTTTCTTTTCTTTCTTTCTTTTTTTTTTTAACTAGCAAATTGGATTCTGATAATGATACTGATTTTTAAGCAAATTTATTTATTGGCTATTTGCTTTATAACAAACAAACTGGCTTTAAACTAAAATATCTAGCCATTTGAAATTAGATCCAACCACTGCATTTTAATCATGATCTGCACGGGTAGTTGTTTTTTATTTGATTTAGATTAATTTCAAGATTTAAAACAAAAACAGAATGGTCTGACTTTAGGTGTTATTTATTTATTTGCTACATAAAACATCTGCACGAAACAAAAACAGCAGGTCTGAATGAGACGCACTCTCTGACAGGAGGTGGCTGCTATGAACAGGGTTGCCAGGTTTTCGAAATAAAACTAGTCCAGTCGCGGTTCGAGGGTTTTCCCCTGTAAAAATCGCATTCCGGGGGTAAAATACACGTTTTTCGGCGGGGATCTTCCAGTAAAATCCACATTCCAGGGACTAAATATCACATTATTGGGGTCGCTTCAACCCGCGGACATGAACAACAACCCGCGGCAACAGTGTTAAGTAGCTCAATTCCGCGGGAAAACCGCGGACTTGGCAACACTGCTCATGAACCGACCGCAATATAGCTTTTCCTTGTTTACCGCTGTAAACAAAGCAGAGTTGCGCTTTATACGGAGAAGAAAATGCCATTGCCATCGAAACTTTTCTCAAGACAGTTCCCTTCAGTGATACATTAATATAACCCCAGAAATGTAATGCATTTTTGTACTTATTTTACTGTTTTTTTCGGGATCTACTGGGACAGTGATAAAGATCTACCAGTCAATCGCGATCGACGGGTTGGCGACCACTGGTGTAGGCTATAAAAAAGTACACAGTGTATGTTTTTGCTTAATCGCTTGCAAATATAAGAGGTCATACATACCCTGTAATATTAGAATAGGTACCCCTTAGTTTCAAAATACTTACAGTAGAAATAATTTGTAATTTTACAGATTATTACTCCTTTATTCTCCAAACTTCGCATATTGTTCCCTTATACCTACACGGAGGTACTGAATAGGACACTGTAATTACAAAAAAGTTACGCTGTAAATTCTGTTTACTTACGCAGTACATTGCGGGTTGTAATCTAAAGCGTTACCCAACTTTCTTATATTTGTTCTCTAACAAATATAAGA